TTAATACCTTGAGAGTGGACAGGAGAGAAACGCTTTTTTTCCTGGGGGACACCCACGCTTTGGCCGCCCCTTCCTGCTACGTCGGACGAGCGGGAGCGAGCGGGGCTCTGGGCCGTGCCGGGACAGGCGAAGGGCTTTGCAGGGGGGTGTTTACAGCTACACAGACATACACATGCCTCCTCCTCCTCCATCGGCAGATACCTGCCTTGTAGAGTAATTCAGTGCCCTGAAAAAGAACAACCACCGCTCCACACGCACACTTTAATGTAATCTTATTTTTTAAAGGTAGGTATGGTAACATCACACGCTCTTAGAGCCAAATTCATGTAGGTTTTCTGTTACCCACCCTATCCCACCTAGGCCTGACTCCGTTTGCTCAGTCAGATCTTTGATGGACAAACTCTGCTAGACAAGATAAACTGCTAAACCATCTTCCCCAGCCGGCGGCTGAGGTCCTGGCTGAAATCTTATTCCGCTGCTTTTGTGAAAGTACAGAGACACTAAAACGCTCAGTGAAACTGGAAAAGCTGATGGATGTTCACAGGGCAACACATTGCCCGTAGCACAACGCATGTGCCTGTCAAGCCTTGCTCCGAGATCTGGCATAAGCTGGGCGTTTGCTTAAACCTTGCCGTGTTTCCGTGAGCCAAAGTAAATAAGCTATTGCAAAGACCAAGACGGTTCAGGGCGGTGCACCCGGCAGGGGTGAGCCGAGCTCAGGCCTTGCAGTGCCTTCCAGGATGCTCCCCAAGCTCTGCTCCGCTCCCACGTGCGTCTCCCTACAGACACGCCGGGATCACGGGCACTAGAGCCCCCACCTCGTTTGGGCTATGGCCTTAACTCCACGAGTCATGGATGTAAAAACTTGATCTTCTCATCACTGGGCAGCATCCCTTCCCCAGGCCTCATTATTTTTGTCCAGATTCCTTCTTCCTCACCTTGTGACCTTTATTGGAGGGGTGTATCAGTTATGCTCCCAAAAGCTAATATTAATTGTGCAAATACCAATCACACGGGTGTGTAAGAGGTGATGTAGCATAGGTAGGCAAGTGCACTTACAAATGCCCTGTTTGCAGAAGGGCACAACTGAAACGGCGAGCGTGCTCCTGGAAAAGGCTTCTCCATCACTTCACATCTGCAAAAAGCTCACCCCCGAGCCTGTGAACCAGCGCTACGGAGCTGATCCTGAGCTAAACAAGACGGCAAGGACAGCCTAAGAAAATGAGCACCGAGTTCATGTGCTCGCGTTCCTGAAAGACACGTTGCCAAAAGCCGACTCTCGGCAAGAGGGGCGGATCAGGCTCAAATGGGGCAGATCAGGTGCAGCGACAGCCCGGCTTCACGGCACGGAGCCTGCAATGGCACCTGCATTTGCATTCAACAGGGCAGAGGCAGAAAAAAACCTACTGGCTGTTGAGCAGGAAAGACCACGCTAGCTTTGGGGGGTCCAGCTGCAGGGGTGTCAACTGCTCCCACTTGCTGAAAGCTCCATCATCCAGGAAGGGTCCCTGGTGAGCTGGAAGACACCTTGCACAGGGACCAGGACACTCTTTGTCTTCTCAGCCAGTGGTGAGCCCCATGCAGGTCATGACAATGCCATGACGAAAGGTTTGTCCTACTTGGATCAGCTGCAGAGCCTGGCTGAGCTTTGGCTGCCAACCCTTCACCTCCACAGGAAGAGCATGGGAGACCCACCACCTGCAAGGTCCCAGCAAACAGCGGTCTGGTTTGTGCAACACACTCAAAGTATCGACAGAAAACTTCCCTGGACCTGCAGAGCTTCCCTCCTGGATGGATTCAGATTTTGGTGTGCCCAGCAGCACCTGTGCCCGGCTTCATGACAAAGCCAACCATGGCGTTATCAGAGCGTGCCACTATCATCTGATCTCAGCTATGAAAAGATTGCTACAAATCTAGCAGTATTTCTGAAACAGTAGCTACAATATGCTTTTACTAAATCAAATTAAGCAGTGTATTTGTTTAAAGTGTGCCCACCCAGAGCTCCACACAGATTAATGCCATCAGTTGCTTCAAGCAATCGCCTAGTGTTACACCCCTCACTGTTGAGGTTATTCCCACAATAGTAATCAAATCCCCATTAACAATTTTCAATTATAAAGTAAATCAAATGTAATAGCCTACATGGGGAATCTCAGCTCATATTCAGGGAGCCCGGAGACTTTCTGAAAGGAAGAAATGTTAAACACCACAGACAAGCTGCTGCTTTAGTCTGGAGGTCAGCAGAGAGACTTGTCCACCGGGGATGTTGACAACCACTTGCAACCTCTGGCCTAAGCACCAGGCACAACCCAGAAACACCACATGCCTGGTGGCCACAAGCACAAGGCTGTCCACCACTGGGCACGTGATGGATTTCCCCTATTTCTGTTCATTTCTTGAACGTCCCCTCCCCAGAGCACCCTTTTGCGCAATGTGAAGGTGCTCTGAAGGGAACCTGGTGTGAATTCTTCTCGTCTTTGCCCCCGATTTTGTTGTTGTTAATAAAGCCCAAAGAGCAGATGTTCAAACACGAATATTCAACACATACCATTCTCAGCCAACAAATCTCTCTGATGGCACCTCACCCAGGTGAGCACCACATCTCCTCACCACACTCTTTTCACAGCCCAATAAACCCTACTCATTGCTGCCCAGTAAATATTCTTGTAAACCAACACCACATATGCCAGAGGCCCCTCATGACAATTCCCACGTGCCAGTCTCCAAATGCAGCGGGCATGTAAGACAGGCAGCAGCTCCTCCCTGGGTGCTCTCAAGCTCACAGGAGATCCCTTCTGCCCCGTCTTCTCCAGCATTTACCACCTCCACCCCTTTGAATTTCCCTGATGGCAAACCAACCCTGTCGTTCTGACAGTGAAACCATCAGTGCCATGGGCCATGGTGATCTTTCAAGGAGAAAAAAGGCACCCATAAATCCTTTCTGACGCTAGAAATCAACGGGGTTTCTCCTCTTGGAGGCATTAACACAGCAAATCTCCAGCCGCTCCCAATCCTGCACCCCCAGCGCTCCTCTGAACTTTTCCCAAATCTCTCCCACATGAATCAATCTGAAGGCAAAGCTGGCAAAGCCTTCCAGCCCCCACCAACCAATTCCACCACCATGCCATCAGGTCCCGCTTCCGTGCTGATCTCCAGGTGCACCAGGAAAGCAGCTCCCAGTATATTTACTGGGAGAGGGGCTGCTCGAGCGACCGCCCGTGTGTAGCTGGGGTGAAGGCATCACCTGTAACGCTGCCCAGCTTTTTGTGGAGCAGCACGAAGTGACCCTGTTCAGCACTGTTCATTTTTCTCTAGGCTTGCGAGGTTTGGAGATTGGTTCAGATAAGCATCCTCAAGCTTGCATGCTTATCTGCACCATCTCCCAAACGGCTTTGATCTGCAGGATTTGGCTGCAGCACTCAAAGTTATCTTGAGAAAGCTTGTTCTGGGGAGAGTCATTCTACTGATTAACAAGAAAAAGCTTTCTTCGTGGTTTTGAGCATTTTTAGCCCTGGCTGGAATCAGGGAGTGTAGCAACGTCTGCACACAGAGAGAAGGAAAAAGTCAAGTAAGCTTCTTCTTGAAGCTTCACTTGGGGTCAGTTGCCATTTCAGCTAAAATTTGAGGACAGTTATTTCATCATCCTTCTTTCTTCCCCCCACTGTTTAACACTGTCTCACCCAACCCACCGCGTGGGTCACTCCATACACAGATTCACACCTCGTGGCTTCGCATCGCCCAAGTCCTACGCAGAAAAGCTGGCTGGACAACGAGGAGAGTGAGTCACCGAAGGGCCGGGAGACCTACGCGGGGCCAGGGATTTGGTCAGTCTAGGGCAAGTTTTAAAAGATACAACATTGAATTAAATAACTGAAACAAATGGCCCCTCTCAAAACCTCCAGTGAAGGAAACACAAGCCACGTGCAAGTACGTGTTAATTTGAGTCAGAGGTTAATTTTCCAGTTTACCTTCTGCTTGGCCAAAGATCTAGGAAATATTCGTTCGACTGAAAAGTATCAGATTTAACTCCTGCTCTTGAAAAATGCCAGCGTGGATTCCCCCACTCAGCCCATCATCACCCCACGCAACATTTCTTCCTTATGGGAACAACAAGGGAGGAGGAGGAAGACGGTATTAAGGAAAAGGAGGAATTACAGAATTAGCAATGAAGTTTACAGTGAGGAAACTACCCTGAACATATCCTGCTGCCCTCACATAAAAGATAAATATGCATTAAAAAACCACTACGCAGGGAGGGGAAAGAAGTGTGAGCAGCAAAAATATGTACATGTGTTTTAAATAATTTTTTTAATTGTTGAGGCAGTAATACTTGGTTCATGGAACTGCAATATACAGAGAGGTGAAATAAATAGCTTATATATATATAATATATATAATATAGCTGGTTTTAAAATATTCCCTTATCATTGGTGTACTAGGTCATCTTGTAGTCACTTGAATGTATTTAGCAGCATTCTCCAGAACTGAGCATAATGCAGGATCACGGAGCCGTGACACCTTATGTCGTCAGAAAGGTTACAGAAGATCGATGCGTCGAGAACTCCAC